GAAAATGTATTCCTAAGTAAGATACAGAGCCCAGAGACATAGAAGAAGGGATATGAGTTCAACTACAGAAAAATTTTAAATGTCAACACAGCAAAAAAACAAACCAAACAAAAAGCTTCCGGTACATACCACAGAGGACTAAGTTATACAAAGAATTTCTATAAGTTACATGGCAAAACCAATAATAGAATAGAAACATAGGTAAACAGTGTAACAGCTAGTTCAGAGAAAAATACAACTGTTACACACATGTAGCAGTTCTTAAAACTTTCTTTTAGGGATCCCTAGGTGGCTCAGAGGTTTAGTGCCTGCCTTCCGCCCAGGGCGTGATCCATGGAGCCTGCTTCTCCCTCTGCCTGTGTCTCTGCCTCTCTGTCTCTGTGTCTCTCATGAATAAATAAAAAATCTAGAAAAAAAACCTTTCTTTTAAAGAAATGCAACTATAATGTATAGCGTAACTGTTAGATGGAATGCTATTTAATAGAAATATATAAATAATCTGGTAAACACCATATTGGAAAAGCTGTAGAAAAAGATATTTTTATATATGTTTCTTCAGAATGTAATATGGTTGACTCTTAATGATAAAAGTTCAATAGCATCTATATCTATCAATAATTATATTTCAAGGACTAGGGCAGACAGTGTTTATAGTACATGCAGTTGTGTTTTTTTAAGCTGCCTATTCTAGAATATATATAGAATATATTCTAATTTTAATATACCACAAAGTATTAAAGTGGTTATTTCTAGGGAAAGAAAAATAAATTCAGAGTCAAGGTTCAGAGAATATGATCAATGAGTAGATACCCATACAAATGGGGTACTTTATGTGTTTACTATTTAGAAAAATAAGCAATATTTGAAGTCTCTTCATCTTCTAATTAATAGAAACTTCCAGTAGGCTATTTCTAATTATTTTGTCATTGTTGTTAGCTAGGACATCCCTAGGTACATTTGAATCTCAATATAGATTCAATTTACATGTGCTCCATAGTGGGAAAGGAAGGTCACAAGAAAAACAAAAATTTTAACCAAAATTTTAGCATTGGAGTGGGACTATGGATAATGTTGTCATTTTTCTGCATTTTCTTAACTTTCTATACTAAATATATATGTCATTTTTATAAATAGTAAAATACGTCATAAATAAAAGATTTTATGTGTTACACTTAATATATTAAGATGGAGAATTACTTACCCTACTGGTACTAATCAAAAGAAAGTTGGAGCAACTATGTTAATTTCACACAAAACAGAATTTAGACCAGGAAATAGAAGGAATTTCAGAATAATAAGACAGTCAAAATTGCAAGAAGATATAATAATATTTCATCTGTATGCACCTACTAACAGAACACTAAAATAAATGTAATGATTAACAGGACTACAAAGTAAAATAGATAAATCCACTATTATAGTTGGATATGTCAACCCCCCCTCTATGTAATTGATAGAGCAACTGGAATGAAAATCAGTTATAATAGAAATGATCTGAACAACACTATCCTTCACTTGATCTGACATTTATAAAATATTGCATCCAACAGATGCAAAATCAACATTCTTCTCAGACTCACGTGGAATATTCACAAAGATAGATCACATTCTGGTCTATAATATACAACATAACAAGTTTAAAAGAACAGTGATTATACAATACAAAGTATATTCTCAATCCAGAATTAAATTAGAAATCTCTAAGAGAAACGTAAATGGAAAATCCCCCAATATTTGTAGATTACAGCACACTTCTAAATTGCATATAGGTCAAAATCTCAAGAGAAATTTTTTAATATTTTGAACTAAGTAAAAATGGTAATGCAATTTACCAAATTTGTAGAATGCAGTAAAAGGGATGCTCAGAAGAAAATACATATCATTAACTTCATATATATAAAATAATAAAGAATGAAAATGAATAATCTCAGCTCCACTACAGGAAACTAGAGGGGGAAAAAAGCAATTCAAACAAGCTGAAGAAAAGAAATGATAACAAAAACAGAAATCAATAAATTTGAAAACAGGAAAACAAGAAAGTGACCAAAGTAAGTTCTTTGAAATGATAAAAAAAAAAAAAATTAACAAACCTCTAGACAAGGTAACAAAACAATAGAGAAAGAGAGAGAAAATACAATTACAAATAACAAAAGTGAAAGAGAAGTTATCCCTATCAGTTCCATGGACATTAAAATGATAGTAAAGGAATACTATAAACAACTCATTGGCCACAAATTTTTTAACTTAGATGAAATGGACCAATTACTGGAAAGATGCCAGCTACCAAAACTCACAAAGAAAGTTAATATTTTAAAGCCTAAATCTATTAAACAAATTGAATCAATAATTAACACACTTTTTTTGATTAATATCTCTCATGAACACAGATGCAAAAAATCATCAAGAAAATATAAGGAAATTGAATGTACAAATGTATACAAAAAAATTACACACCATGACCAAGTGGGATTTATTCCAGGTATGCAAAGCTAGGTCAACATTCAAAAAATCAGTGTAACCCACTATATCAAGAGATTAGGGGAAAAGTCACATAATCACATCAGTAAATACAGAAAAAGCATTTGAAAAATTCAACACCCATTCATTATGAAACCTTTCAGAACAATATAACAGATGTGAACTTCCTCATCTTGATAAAGAACATTTACAAAAAGACAAAAAAAATACAGCTAAGCTAACATCATAATTAATAGTGACAAACCTGATGCTTTATTCCTAAGATCAGGAAAAACAAAGGATGTCCTAACAACTCCTATACAATGTAATAATGGAAAGTTTATACTGTGCAATAAGAAAAGGAAAAGATATAAAATACAAGGAAAGGAAAGGCAGAAACACAACTACCTTTTGTCTATACAGAAAACTCCAAAGAACCCCAAAAAACTCCTGGAATTTCTTACAAAACTAAGTATGGTCTGCCCATGCAATCCAGCATTCATATCCCTAAGTATTAACCCAAATGATTTGAAAACTTATGTCCACGTAGAAACCTGCCTGTTAATATTTATAGCAAATTTATTCATAATCATCCCAAAGTGGAAGCAACTAATAAGTCTTTAAATAGGTGACTAGATCAACAAACTGTAGTATATTCATACGAGAATACTATTCAGTATGCAAAAGAACTAAGTGAACAAACCAAGAAAAAAACAGATGAATCTTAAAAGTATAATGCTAAATGAAAGGAGCCTATCTGAAAGGGGCTGTATAATACCAATTATGAGATATTCTGAAAAGGCAAAGCTATAAAGACAGTGAAAGATCAGTGGTTGCCAGGGAAAGAGAAGGAATGAAAGAAGGTTAAAATCATGAGGCATAGGACATTTTTTCAGAGCAGTAAAATGTTTCTGTGTGATTCTGTAATTGTGGATACATGATAACATGAATTTGCCAAAATCCATGGAACTTTACAACACAAAGAATGAACCTTAATATACACAAATTTTTATAAAATCATGTAGATTAGGAGAAATTTCAGTACGTAATGAAGAATGTGACAAAACAATCTAATTGTATTGTGTTATGAAATGACCACACTAAAGGGGAGCAGGAAATAAATTAATGATCTAACTACTTTAGAAATGAGTGGAGTCTTTAATACTAAAGACAAAAGAAGCTAAACATAAGCATCATAATGTAGCTAATAAAGCTGTTTCCCATGGACATATGGGTTAAAAATTCTGATATTGCTATACGTGCATAATGAAATTAAACAATTAAGCAAATGGATGCCCAATGTTGATAGCCAGATTTCTCAGTGGATTGGGATGTGAGTTCATAGATAAGCAAGGGAAAGAGGTTTGAATAATCCAAATGATGATGAGTCATAGTTGGAGACATCAGTAGGAATATTTGTCTTAATATAGATGTAGATATAGAAATATTTATAGACATGTATAACATGAGTTCATACATATTACTTCTTTGTTCTGTTAACTGTGAGACCCTAGAGGTAATGACACTCCAGTAATAATGAGCACAACTAGTGCCCAGTTCTTTATTCCTAAAGTATCCCCAGTATCTTTGATAGAAATGAGGATGATTATATAGAGAAAGTTTTAAAAAATGATGATGATTAGCAAACTGTTAGTTTGCTAAGCCTTTTGAATGCTGAATGAAGAATGAAATGGAAAGAGAACAGGGTAGATAAAAGATGCTAAGAAGGTCCACTTTGTATGTAAATATTTTATTCATCATACTATTGTAAACTTGATGGTAATCATCCAGATACTTGACTAAATACAAAATTTAATTCATGGAGCTTAAAACAATGGAAGATATAAAATGGGTATTGTTTCTTGTAGGTTTCCCATTCTAGGATTCCCTAGCTCCAGTTCTGACATTCTAGTAAATGTGTATGTAAGCATTGAATGTATAGAATAGAATAAAAACTTTTTTATTAAAAAAAAAAAAAAGGAACCAGGCATCCTTGGAGAAATGGTTGATTCTGTAATCGGCAAAAGATACACAAGAATAAAGTCCTGGGAGAATGAAACCACAGTGATGCAAGCATGTTAAAGGCAACTGAAACAATACCAATGGTCAACCATAGAACAAGTTGAGCAACAAATAGAATTTGGATAATAACAAAGTATAAAATATCCATGAGTCCTTAATAGAATAAATGAATGAATAGGTTAGAAAAGAAAAATCTGCTATGCAGAATAATTTCAAATAATTTATATAGATATTGCATCAAGGAGCAATCCCTTAAATGTAGACTGTATAGTGACTTCTTTCCCAAGAGTACAGAATGGGAAAAGGGGGGAAAAAAGAGTAACTTTAGGATGGAGAGAACTGACAAGCACCACCTCACCCAAATGATCACAGTCAACATCAACAAAGATAAATATGAACTCTTGATATAATAAAATGGCTTTTTACCTCTGTAATCTCCTCCAAAACACATAACCTCAGTCTAATCATTAGAAAAACACCATACAAACCCATATAGAAAGACATTCTACAATGTTTCTTACCAATACTCCTCAAATTGTCAAGGTCATCATCAACAACGCAAGTCTAAGAACCTGTTGCAACCAAGGGAAGCCGAAAGACACATGAGGACTAAATATAGTCCTGGATGTTCTAGATGGATCCTGGAATAGAAAAGGGACATTAGATACAAATCAAGGAAATCTTATAAAATATGGACTTTATTCAATAATTTATTGAAGTTGGTTCATTAATTATTACAATGCACCACAGTAATATAAGATGTTAATAAGACAGACAAAACTGGGTGCAGAGTATATGAGAACTCTGCATCATCTTGGCATTTTTTTCTATAAATCCAAACCATCCTTAAAAAATAAAATTTCATTTTTAAAAAACTAAACAATAAAAAACATACTGTTTAAATAATGACATGAAAGCAAAGACTTAAATGTGAAAATAACCTCTACTCAATTAGAATAAAACTATAGGACCTCTGGATAAAGACAATTTTCCTACCCTAAGCTACGATCAAATGAGCAAATAATAGCAACCTTCCAAAAATAAGTTCCCCAATAATAATCTAAGGGGAAGGAGGAATCTAATATCATGAAATTAAAATATATCGGCATCTAAATAAATAAATGTAAAATTCTATATCAGAGCTAAGAGAGCAAAGCCAGCCCTTGTCCTTATTACCACCATATATACCATAAAATGAGTTGAAAACAATCCCTAGAACTTCCATTAATATCCTGAAATCAGATGAGAAGCTAACTACTATGTGAGTATCCTTATTTTTTCCCTATTCTATCTGAATACAGGTAGAAATGGGTGCTAGAGCTGACATGCTCTGAGGGAAAATCAGTTCTCCATTGGAGAAATACTCTGAAGGCTGGTGTAAGAATTCCCTTCACCATTGTGCATTTTCCCTTAATAGGTGTAGTAACTTCTGGTATAGGGTATTTGACACAGTATCACAATACGAGTTGAACCCAAACTGAGAGAATCTCCCCTATGCGACACACCATCCCTTCCATCACCATTCCTGCAGATATAGAACAGGCTTTAAAACATAATTAATATAGTAGTTAGAACCATGGCTGTCAAGCTCTAGGACCAAAGGGCAAACAGATCACTAACACTATGTTACACAAAAAAGAAGAGGTAAGCAAAATTAAAGAAGAGAATAGCTTAAAACACCAGCAGGGAATACCACCATGCTAAAAAGAAAAAATGGTAAAAAAAAAAAAAAAAAAAAAAAAAAATTGTATCTATCTATCTATCTATCCATATATACATTTATCTCTCCATATATGAGCACAGGTTTATGTATATAAATAAAATTATTTGTCATTAATTTCAACTACTTTGTGTTTCTCCTAAGTTCTTAATCTTAAATCTTTTAAGAACAAATGAATTATCAGCTTACCAAGTGGCAAGGTCTAGCTCTAAATATAAACACAAACATGGTACAAACTGTGGATTATCTCTATCCTGTTCCACTGTTTTTCCAGTTAACTTATTTGTTTCCAAAATATGCATATGAAGTTGGATATATTTTCAAGAATATAAACTAACATCACATAAATACAAATTTGTTTATTAGAGTTGCTTTATTATTCTAGAACTTGAAAAGGACCAGGCAATAAATATTTTAATCTTTATGGTCACAACTATTCAACTCTGCTGTTGGAATGTAAAACCAGCTCTAGACCATAAATAAATGAACAGATGTGGTAGCTGTGTTACAATTAAACATGATTTACAAAAACAGGCAGCAGATGGATAAAGAAGATGTGATACATACATACATGCACATATACAATGAAATATCACTTAGCCATAAAAAAGAGTAAGATATTGCTGTGTGCAACAATATGGATTAGCTAGAGGGTATTGTGCTAAGTGAAATAGGTCAGAGAAAGACAAATACTATATGATTTCACTTATTATATGTGGAATTTAAGGAACAAAGAGAGAAAGAAGACAAAAGACAAACTCTTAAATACAGAGAACAAACTGATTGGTTGCCAGAGGGAAGGTGACTGGGAGGAAGGGTTAAAGAGATAAAAGGAATTAAGATGCATAAACCTCCTGTTATAAAAAAAAAAAAAAAGCCACAGAGATTAAAGTACAGCATAGGGAACATAGTCAGAAAGATTGTAATAATGTTGTTTGATGACACAGAGTGATTATACTATCACAGTAACCAATGAGGAATATAAGGAATTGTTGAATCATTTTGTTGTACACCTAAAACTAATATAACACTGTATGTTAATATTTCAATAAAAAAATAAACTGAAAGAAAAAAAGATATAGCCATGAACAGTAATATGTGGATCCTTGCTCCAAATCACAACTTTGCGTATATCATGCCAGATAAAAAAAAAAAAATTTAACAAAAAATTCTCTAAAAACACTCTAAACTTCTGTCTACCTTTTGTAATAAGTATTTGGTGCTAAAATATGTACACATTGTTGAAAATTGAGAAAAATTGAAATTTCAAAAGGAAAATAAAAATATTTAGTTTCACTATCTAAAAATAGAAAATATTTAATATTTACACATTTCCTTCTTTTTACATGTATTGTTTTTCACACAGTAATGTATTAAGAATATAACATCCAGATGTTTACACTTTAAATTATAATACATAATCAAAACTTATAAACAATGATTTCAAAGGTATGTATAAAATTCTATCCTACAGGTATTTTAATATTTACTTATCCATCCTATACAGGTAGGTATTTGACTATTCCACTTTATCCCTACAATGTAAAGCTTAAGTTATCATCATTGTACTTAATCCTTATTTTTTAGAATGAACACAAATATAAGAAATTACAAAATGTTAACATTTCTGTGGCTTGCAATATACTTTTAAAAATTCCTTTAAATTCCCATCTATAGTCTATGAGAGATGGCCCTAAAAATGTATAGTTACATATGTTCAATTAAGAACCATTACCCTATTAAAAAACAGAAATTTACATTATAAACTAATTTTTAAAGTACTACATCCAGTTCAAATTGTGTATCACTTGGTTAAAAGAAAGTAAGTTTAATGGTTGCTCTATGGCAGGACATAAGACATTTATTTGCTTCAGATTTGGGGCTCCAGAGGTAAGCACCACAGCAAAATCTCAGAGCAGCGTAATTAATCATCATGGACATTTCATTGTCAGTGAACATAAATCAAAAGGCAAGCACTTTTCCTCTCTGAGTGATATGAAACCAGCATAAACATGGAGAGAAAAATCTGATGCTTGTCAGTGGCTGATATGTATTTTTCACTTCTGCAAATAAGTGGTAGAATGTTGCACATGAATACCTTCTACCCTGTGATTTATTTTCTCTACCAAATATTACTCAGATAGAAGAAAACTGGAGCAGAAGCCTTCTCCCAGCAACCTGGTATAAAAATGCCAACAGATAAAATAATCTAAATATCAATATAAATTGCCCAGCAATACAGCCAGCTTAAAATGATCATGGCTCCTTCAACTGCTTGGAAACGTTGTTTACCTCGAACCACAGGTATAGGAGATTATATTTTTCATTCGTTAAGCAATTGGAAAGACTGCAAACAGCCCAGAAAATGGATCTGATAGACCCAGATTAGAATCCCATTTTTGCCTGCTATTGCTGTGATTTGTGGCAGTTTAACTATTCAAACCTGTCTCCTTCACTGCAAAAAAGAGAAAATATCTTTATCTCATAAATTGTAATTAACAATAATTAAGATAATAGATACCAAAGTGGCTACCATGGAACCTAGAAAGGAAGTCTCAATCAGCATTGGTTGAATCAGAAGTCCTTCCCACATTCGAAGGACCAAAAACTTTTATTACATCAATCTCAATAATGTAGTATCTCAGTGATAGCAAAGGTCAACTTTACCTTTGTATTTCATTGGCTAAAAGAGTTTAAACTTTATTTTAAATCTTAAGAGCCTAATTATAATGTTTCTGTAACTCTCTTTAATTTCATTAAACACTGAACTGGATAAATGACTTTAAAGCCTCACAAGCAAATTCAAGCTTCAGGACACCCCTGTTTAAAGTGAATTTTTATATTAGCTGCCAAGCCTTACATTTTTCAATCTTGTGTTTGTATAAAATCCACCCATCATTTCATTGTACATATTTTATATGCACTATTACTGTTTCTTTCACTTTTATTAAAGAAGAGAATTGATTAAAATCCCTGTAAAGTGCATATTAAGAACTCCCCAGAGTGAGTAAACATAATATTGTATGAGATACTTATTGAATTCCTCAGAGTTGGGTATGATGTACATGTATTACGGAATTCTTAAGAATGCATGTTGTTGACTTGAATTCAGTGCTTTAGTGGGAAAAATTTTCCATTTCAACCTTAAAAAATAGATACTACAATATCTTTCTGACAGATAAGCAAGATGATACGTAATCTGTTGGAGTCTATTATATAAATTCACTGCTGGTTTTATGAGCCAAAAATAGGGCCAGCGGCTACAGAATACTGGAGAAAAAGATAGTTCCAACCTATTTACAAACCCTGTTGTTACTGTAAAAGAAGAATCCCTGTGTGAGTCCACCATGTTTCCCATTTATAACTGTACGGGTATCTTGGGATCAAGTTCCTCCAGAAATACAATCTGAACCAATGATTTGAATGTAATAATCTGCTAAGAAAATGCTCTCAGGGGATCCCTGGGTGGCGCAGCGGTTTGGCGCCTGCCTTTGGCCCAGGGCGCGATCCTGGAGACCCGGGATCGAATCCCACATCGGGCTCCCGGTGCATGGAGCCTGCTTCTCCCTCTGCCTGTGTCTCTGCCTCTCTGTGTGTGTGTGTGTGTGTGTGTGTGTGTGTGTGTGTGTGTGTGTGACTATCATAAATAAAAAAAAAAAGAAAGAAAGAAAATGCTCTCAGAAGAAACCTGTCAGGGAGTGGCAAAAGGAGGACAGAAAAGAAGTAGCAGCCAACAAGGGTATGACTTTAGATAGAAGTAGAGACTGCTTGATCCTGCTGGGAATTCTGGAATATTAACATAAAACTCCAGGTCTGTCTCTCTGGAGTCAATCAAAGGAGATTGGACTCTTCTACTGATACATCAGAAAGCTATTCTATCATAGTTAGCCTGGGGTAGGAGGGAGGTAAATGATCAAGCAT